CTCCGTTCTTCTTCCAGGAGACGCTGGGCTCGGGGTGGCCGCGGGGCGGGACGCACTCCAGCACCGCCGGCTCTCCCGCCGCCACCACCACGTCCCCGGGCGGCTGGCGGAACTCGTCTCGCAGCGCTGGGGACACACCGGCGTCGCCTCAGCTTCCCCAGCCCTGACCGTGGGGACATCGCCTGCGACTGCTCTAATGGGTTCCATTTCTCTCCATTTATTTTAATTGACTTAATTGATTCGACTTGATTGTCAATTATTTTCAATTATTTCAATTTGATCTTATTTTGTAGCAATTACTGTCATTTATTCTCACTTATTTTCATTCCTTTCCAATTACTTTCACTCCTTTTCTATTATTTTCAGTTGTTTTCACTTAGTTTTACTTATTGTCACTTCTTTTCAGCAAGTTTCACTTCTTGTCATTTATTTCCAGCTATTTTAATTCCTCTTCACTTATTTTCACTTATTTTCAAATTTATTTTCCCTTTCACTTATTTTAACTTCATTTTATATCTTTTCCCCACATGTTTTAATTTTGCCCTTATTTTCGTTCATTTTCTCTTACTTTTACTCCATTACTCTTGCTTTCATTTATTTTCACTGTTTTTAATTTCTTTTCACTGTTTCATTAGTTTCCTTTACTTACAATTTTTTCACTCTTTATTCTTCCTTCTTTTCTCCTTATTTACGATTCTTTTCCATTATTTTAATTTCTTTCCACTTCTTGTATTTGTCTCGAATTACTTACACTTATTTTCCCTTACTTTCAGTTCTTTTCCCTTGGTTTTTTCTCTCATCCTTCGGCAGCGCCAGGCGCGGGGGTGCGACAGCTCCTCACCCCACAGCCACCGCAGCAGGTTGGGCTTAGCGGTGACACCAGACACCCCAAATCCTCCCCAACCTCCTCCCAGGCGCCCTGTCCGTCCCCCCCCCGGACTCACTGGCCACCTCCAGGGAGGCATTGCGGCTGGTGGCCTCCCCCAGGTAATTCCTGGCCACGCAGACATAGACTCCCTCGTCGGGCTTCCCACGCCGCCCGTGCAGGATGCGGAGGAAGAAGAGGGACCCGCTCGGGAGGAGGGTGCGGTGGGAACGGGGATCCTCTCGGTCCGTCTCCACTCGCTCCCCGTCTTTGTACCACTCCACAGCCGGGGCCGGGCGCCCCTCGGCCTTGCAGCTCAGCGTGGCTGGTTCCCCCTTGGAGACCAGGAGATCCGTGGGGTGCTCCACGATGCGGGGGGGCATGTCCTCCAGCGGAGTCTGGGACCCTGCGGGGAAAATGGGAGGGGTGGGAAGGAGGGTTTGGGGACCAAGCATCATACAGTGGC